CATGAAACAAAAATATCAAAAATTAAAACCATATAAAAAATAATAATTAAAACAACACAAATTCAATACATAAATATTAAATAGTTTAACTAAAAAATAAAAACAACACTCAAAATCAAATGTATAGAAAAGAAAAAAATGTGAGTGTATTATATCTAGGTTTTAAAATTTATTAATAATAGCAAATAGATCTTTAATTTTTAAAAGTATTTATATAATTTGTTTCTAAATCAAAAATCGCGTTTCCGTCGTGTTTCCATCGCGTTTTCATCTCGTTTCTAAATTAAGAAATTTTAAAACGTGTTTCCATCGTGTTTCTCCGCATTTCCATTGCTTTTCCATTTTCGGATTCGTTTTCGAAACATTTCCAAAAACGGACCTTGGTCGGTGTTTTCATACAACCCAGGTTAAAACAAATACAATCATTCGGTTTACATATATTTGTTATACTATTTTCATATTGAAATACTATTAGTCGTACACATAAGGCGGATAATCATCTAGTTAATCTTTTAACTGTTGCTTAATTGGCAGAGTTAATTCGATGGGTGGCAATAGGAAATGGTAGGATATATCACTTAAAAATACCATCTCATCAGTTCAATAGTTTATGATATATAAGAACAAACTTTTTATTGACAAGAAAAAGAACAAACTTTCTTTAATTATCATAAAATTTTTTGATTCAAATCTACTAGAAAAGTCATTATGATTTTTTTTTTTTATATACAGAAGTACAGAACTACTTGAAAATCAATTATGATTTTTTTTATACAAATCTACTTGAAAACTCATGTTTAAGCAGGGGCTTGAAAACTGAGTGTAATCAATGGCAAACCCACTAAAAAATATTAAATATCAAATAACTCCGGTTAAATATTTATGTTTAATTGTATGTAAATGTTAATGAAAACTTTGATAATGACATTTTTGCTGTTCTTTGAAAGGGAGGTGTTCCCTAACAACATCCCAATTCCACTGGTTAGATGAGGGAAGATTTAATACCCTCTTTGGTAAATTTAGTAAAAAGGTGTTTATAATCTTTTAGTAAGAACGAAAATATTTTGTTTATCTAAAATTACTTTTGTTTTGCTTATATTATGCTTATATTTTCTGAAGTATTTTTTTTTTATGCTGATCTTTTCATTAATTATAATATACTACTATAGAGTTGTGTTAGAAATGAGATATCAATAAATTCCTGATTTTAATTTAACATTCTAATCCAGATTCATTAACTGCGGTGACTTATCTAGTTTTAGGGGAATTAGAGTGTATGACCAAGAAAAACGTTATATTTATGAATATAACCATTTCATATGCATGTTTAATGTGCAACATGTATATTTTCTTTTCTCAAAAACTTTTGATTATAAATTCTCATTCTTTCTTCTTCCTACTTCATAGGTTACTTCAAAGGAACAAATAAATTATTTTCTCTTATTTATTTTAATTTCAACATTTTCAAATTACTTGAACTAATTTCGTAGATCTACTAAAAGAAAACTATATTTTTGTGTTGCATATATCACAATTTGAATTTCTATAAACAAATTATGAAATCTACACAGTGTTCGATTTTTCGGGAAAACAAATTTGAAAGAGAGATTCCAAAGTCCATCGGACTATTGAAAGAGCTTCATGTGCTCAACTTATCAAACAATGCTTTCACTTGCCACATCCCTTCATCAATGATTCAAGTGTTGTACTTTTTTTTAAGTGTGGTACTTTTTATTTAGCACAGCACAACAGTAAATTAGACTACTTTATTGTCGACCAAAAAAATAGACTACTTTATTATTAAAAAGCAATAATATATATATTGGGTACTTCTGACGTTACCAAATAAAAGGGGTTTTATTTGTATTTTTGGTTATATATAATAAATACCAAATAGAAGTTGGAAAAAACACAAAAAATCTATAATCAGAACAACATGCATACACTATTGATGACGTATGATCCATAGTGATTAACATTCTAGGAAAAAAACTGATTGCTACTTCAACAAACACCCTAGACGCAACTAACAAAATTATCAAATAATTCATATGTTACCTGCTCGAAAGATAGATAATTATAGGCGGAGAAATTAGGCATAAATAATATGAATAATGTAAACAAAAATATGATCAGTTGATTATGATCTAGATAAACTAAT